AAAATTCCGAAAATAAATAATCATTATAATAAACAACAACAAAAAATAATCATTTAATAAGTAGTATGTTAATAATCCGTTTAATTTTACAAGAAATAAACAAAGTGTAGAAATATTTAATCAGTTCATTTATTCTCCAATTAAAGAAGGAGATGCAAGGAGAGATGTTAGAATCAAAATTATCATGTATTGATTTAATAGGGGTGCAGGTGGAGTATCATTGTGAATACTATAATACTAATATGTAATACATGAATACTACTAATTAATTGTTACTTTTCTTTAGATTTAATGTAAATGCTACATATTGAAATAGTTGTTCTACTGATATTTTTATTTTATTTCAACACATAGATATTGGTACAAAGAGGCACAAAATACATATGCGCCACGCAAATCTCATTCGATATGTGTGAGGGCTGTGATACTCCCCGGGTGTCCAGACCGAAGCAGGTGGTTTTCTTAGGGGGCCACTCCCCGAGCCTTCAACCTGAAGGTCTGATCCACAAGGCAGTGGAGCATCGTCAGGTGATGCAGTCCCATGGAAGCCGGTGACCAACAATTGGTTCATACTCCCGTATGATACTGGAGCCCATGTGCACCATTTGTTTGGGATCTGGTTAAATCGCCGGACATTCGCTTTTCGTCCTCTCATTTACGTAAACAACACCCGTGGTGCGAGAAGGCAGTGAGTAGGACTTCCCTGGCAGAGGCTATAAACGCGTGGCCATGTGAGAGCATTTCGAGAGGGAGAGCGGACTCTCCTCACTATCGGCCGTACCAGGGCATTTGGGGGCATATTACTAACATGATTGAATTTTCTAACATTTCTATAATTGATTTTTATCATCATTAATTAGATGGTCTTAGCTAAGGGTAATTATTCATTCAATAGATCATCAGTAGTATATCTTGGTTATTTATCATGTCATAAGAGATTTCATGAAACTTTCACAAGTTTCCTGAAAAAGTCGACAAATTAAGACTATAATCTCATAACCCACAAATGCCCTAGTACGGCCGAGAGTGAGCCACATGCATACAACCACTGCCAGGGAAGTCCTACTCACTGCCTTCTCGCGGCATTACTGTTTTTTACGAAATCAAGAGGATGAGAAACGAAAGTCCGACGCTTTAACCACGTTGATGGATATGGAAGTATCACTTAGGGGAGTCGGAAAACCCTGATTATAAATTAATGGTGTACATGGGCTCCAGTATCTTGAAGGAAGAAATGGCGTATGAACCTATTGTTGGTTACCGGCTACCATGGCACTGTATCTCCTTACGATGCTCCACTGCCTTGCGGATTAGGCCTTCAGGTCAAAGGTTGGAGGTGTGCCCTCCTAAGAAAACAACCTACTTCGGTTTTGGCACCTCGACTGTATCCCGGCCCTCACGTAAATGGAATGATAGAATCCACATTGGAAAAAAAGAAGCTTAACACATAAATTTGCTTTTACATTCATATCACTATGACTATATGATTCTACAAAAAACTTTTTCTTAAACATCCTAAGTAATTTTATGACTCAGTGAGCATATCCTAAACAAAACTACTTATAAAGATGAATTTTATGCAGAATTGCCGTTTAAACTTTCTATAAAAACCAAAAATCGCTATTCCAATTAGTTCTTTATATTCGTCATACACTCTGTACTTTTCATTTTTATTCTACTTCATTGTTAACATTTACTTACAATTTAACGTACACACAATGAGGAATTTCGTTACTTTATTTGTTATCATTAGTTAGTTATAAGTTAATATTGAATCTGTTGTATATGGTTGGAACTATTGGGATTCATATCATCAAACTGAATCTATGAGTTCATAAAAAATTGTTGAATAACTTTTTAATTTGGATGGTGGGGGGGGGTAATAAACTTTATACTTTCATCTAATATTTCATTAGAAAAATCTATGTCATTTAAAAAAAATAATCAGTTACTGTGTAGTGCTATCGTCAGGATATTTATTATTTTTTTTTTACATAACTATTACTATTATATATAGGGTATGAAAATAAGGTAGAAGATTTATAACTTGTGTAAAGTTTTATTAGTTAATTACTTTTTGTCCCTACACTAATTCACATGCCATTTTTCATACACAAATTGCCCATGCTTCTATTCATATGACTTGTGCATTATGTCTAGTCTTATATTTAATTCAAATTAATAACCATCTCTGAAGTGTACTTTATTGTTATTTTCCACTGATTCACATGATAGTGTATCGACAAGATGATGGGAAAACAAAAAGAAAGACAGAAAGAGGTCTATATATATCATTTAGACATTTCAGTAAATCGATTAGTTTGTTGGATATGCCTAATAGGAAATTATTTATTAAAGATCGAGATTTAAATTTTCTTATTTTCTTGGTTAGCTACTACATCTTATCATGAAATTTAATAATGAATACTTCCCAATCAACAGTTATGACTGATATGATAATTTAACCTGAAGGTCAATAGCGTATCATGGATGGTACTGTAATTCACGTGATTTTCTACCATATTTACTGCCTCTAAGTGATAGTCGTGTTTGATTTTCGTAATAAACCAACTAAAGTCTACTGTCTGGAATAATTGTTCTTGGTGGTTCTTCCATGACAGCCTTGTCTATTTCCGGTCCTTGCTTGGGATACAGCTGTCCTCCATGCACGACTTTATACTGTAGTCCGTCGTATGAGTCTGGAATAATGTTGACAACCTTCTCAGGAACTCCACAGTGTCGAAGAAGTTTCCATAATGTTTTCTTATATACACTGTCAAATGCCTTCTCATATTTAATAAAGTTGATGTATAGTAACGAGTTCCATTCAACTAATTGTTCGATGATGATCTGTAATGTCGTAATTTGGTCTGTGCACGACCGATCCTAACGGAATCCAGTCTGTTGATCTCGAATGTGGTTAAATCTACTTTCATATTAATCAAATCCTTCGGATATATACTTTTAACCAAAGACAATTTCTGCCATTATTTTGTTATAAACATATTCGAAAATAAACTGCTTAGTGATATGATTCAATCGAAAAACTTTTTAATTACTGATCTATTTATCACACTTGATCATGTGATAACTACGGAAATCACTCTCAAATACAGGGCATAATCAGTCATCACTGTTTATTTAGTATGGTTTACAACAATTGTCTCTTACTGTCTGATTCTAGTGTTGCCATTTTCGTGGATCCTTAGCTGCATCTTTTATGCGGTTCAGCAGCATTCTGTTGGAAACGTTTTTCGGTACTGACAGTAGTGTAATTCCTCTGTATTTCTCACTTTTCCCACATTTTCTTTCTTTAGTATCTTGATGAGATGTCCTTCTTTCCAGTCCGTCGGCACTTGTTCCTCCTCCCAAATCTCGAATAAAAGTCAATTATGTTTGAAGTTACTTCAATGTCTGACATCAGAGCTTCAGCTGGTATATTGTCAGGTGCTGCTGCTTTCCTACTCTTGATTTGTCTGATTGCTATCCTGATCTCTTCGATCGTTGATGGAGTGACAGCTATAGGAAGATCTGTGTTTGTTGCTTCATTGTCCACTGGATTCAATGGAGCTGGTCTATTCACGAGTTCCTCAAAATACTCTACCCATCTGTTCCTCTGTTCTTGAATTTCAGTGATTGGCCTGCCTCCCTTCTAGTTTATTCGTTGTATCATATATTTGTTTCATATTTCGTTCTCTTGGAGCTTGTTCTGCCGTCGTTGCTAGTTGTTCCTCGTATTTCTGGTTGTCAGCTTTAATGTTCTTCTTCACTTGCTTGTTTGCTTCTGTGTACTGAAGTTTTGCCTTGACCTCCTCTGATTGTGTTCGTCTGTTGTTAATTGTTGTTTTCTTGTTCTTCCTTTCTTGAATTTTGTCCAGGGTTTCCATAGTAATATAGTGGGTAGGGACATACATTGTTGTCTCTGCTGTCTCTGCCTACTTTCTCACTTATTGCAGTTCAGATGAAGCTAAACGCTCATGTAGTTATAGTGTCTGGTAATTTTAACGCTCAAATAGGACTAAATAAAACCGAGAGGCACTCAGGTGGATCTTACGGTAGTGAAACTGAGAGAACAGATAATGGCTCATTCTGGAACACCTGGTTAGACTTAGATCATGCTTTTGTTCGAGCACGTATTTATTTGCGTCATACTGGACGTGAAAAAGTCACAGCTCAAAAATTTTTAGACTTCAACTTAATGATGAAAAAGTCAGGAATATATTTCAGGAACAAGTAGAGAAGGAGTTAGTCAACCATGAAAATGATATCCACCCTAAGGTCCACGTAATTATCGTAACCCCATTGGTTAGAGATTTTGAATGACATGGCTCAAATTCTTTTGCAGTCGCACATGTGCATCCATCCATTGCATTCTCAAAAATTCCAAATTCCTCATATTATTTTTTTGTTTCGCTAATTTATATTTTGCATAATCGATATCTAATGTTTACTATTACTACTGATACTGTTACTACCTCTACTTTTCCTTGATTTGGTTTGACAACCTCATCTGCGCTAATGGGGTATGGCAACTTGAACCGATGTACATAGGTATAAGTTATAGGTTCTACGTTGTAGCTGACTGATTAACTTTAGAATCAACGATTAACAATTCTTCTGTAGACTATACTATTATCACATGTTTATTGTTATATATTTTAAACAGTAGATATTCAATACTGTTCTTCTAATCACTGGTGGCTAAATAATAAATTAACACATTCACCGGGTATTTGGGTATGAGCGACACGCTAAATGTAAGTATTGATGATACTTCTTGGTTGCCCAAACCGGAATCGGTGGACTAGGGTTCGAATCTTGCACCTAGTTTGTTGAAATTCTAACGTTGTAACTACTAAACCACCAAAACACTTGCTGTTAGGCTACACTAATCCCTTTTTCATTGTTACCTAATAAAGTTATTTCATTAAAAATGTGCTTTTATTAGTGTATTAATCATTGTTTGTTGTTTTTCTTTTGATCATACATTCGTTAAACAGACATGTGTTCATCAACATAGAGATAATCTATCCGTTCATCAATTATCAACATCGATTTCTGAAAGTCGTTCATTACAACGAAGTAATAATAATAATAATGGTAATGGAAAATTATCATTCATTATGCCATTTAACAAAATCTTTCATAAACAATCATCAATATCATTAAGTACTACACCTATATTAAATGATTCAATCAATGAGAAAATAGATCGTAATCAATTCAACGAAAGAAATGATCATAAAAACATAATTGATAATCATGATCCATTTCATCATTATCATAGATCATATCCGCCAGTTTTAACAGAACGTAATAATTTAGCATTTTCATTTGATGATACAGAAATTGATCTTCTTCAAAATCAAACTATAAAATTAATGAATAATAAGAATAAGAATAAGAAAATTCAACAAAAACAAGAACATCATGATCGTGTATCATCAAATTGTTTACATTGGCTTCAATTACAGAATTCATCAAATCATTTTAGTACTAATGAAAATAATCAACATGATAATCACACAAACAATAACCATGGTAATAAGCTACAACATAGTTTTAAATATTCTTGTCCACAATTAACTGATATTGCATCAATGAATCCAATTAACTGTAATGAAGATGATGATGATGATGCTACAGCTACTAGAAGCAATATTAGTCATCAATGTCATCATGTCGGTAGAGGATGTTGTCAACGTAGTGGTGGTAGTTATTTTTCTGTTCATCGATCAAATAATCATCATTCACATTGTCTTAATAAAGACGCAAAGAATGATACAATTGTTGATATGGATGAGTGTATTGTTAAAGTTGATGAAGATGATGAAATATCTAATCTACCTGAAGCACCTTTACCACCTTTATATAACAATTCATCATCTTATTGTGATATCATACAAGGACAAAGTGTATGTTATCAACGAATTTATGATAATTTAATTGCTGTCAATAATGGGATGAATGATATTACTTCTAATAATGATAACGATAATTGTTGTTGTAGTACAATAAGGCGTTCATTGCCATCAATGACAACGCCAACAACACCCACAGTTTGTTTCCCTCATCAACTATCTAACGAATACAGTGATAATAATAATAATGTGGCAGAAATTGATAAAAAGACCAGTGTAGATGGGCAAACACAAATTGACGGGGTTAGTCCTGTTGTATTAGCATTAGAAAGAGGTGATTCAACGCCATCTTTTGGAGAACAAAAATTAGCACATATCAATGATTGTAACAACCCACCTGTTCTGTTGGAAAAATCATTGTCATCTGATATAAATCTACCAGAAATGATCGATAAACCTAGTTCATTTATATCAAACAATTCTACAACAACAACAACTACTACTACTAATGGTGATGATAATAATAACTCGAAAGAACATGATGTAATGAGAAAGTTTAGGAACAAATCTCAACATTAATTCTACCAAGATTGCCATCAATATCAACATCATCCAAAATCTACTTACATTCAAGACATGCTAGTCTACCAAATCCAAATACATGTAGTAATACCGTTATCATTGGTGATGGTATTAGCCGTCGTGAACATAGTTATGCTAACACTGGTACTAATCATAGTCGACAAGAAAATATGCCATTTCGTGTAAATAAAAAGAATCCATCTGATTATTTATGTAAGATACATCGTAATCTTAGTAATTCTTCAGACAGAAAGAATTCTGACATGCTAGATATGATTAATGAATATTCACCGTATTATAATTTGTCGACAAGTCCTCAGGTAAGTTCATTTCAGTTCTATTCGAACCTTTTATATCATAGCTACTTAATTGAAGTCAGGATTTCTAAGTGTTAACTTGTAAATTACTTAAATCAATTTCAATTTATGATATTCCCAGGCAGATGGACAAAAATAAAATCAAACAAAAGTCTGATAAATATATGTTTCAGGCGAATTCCTCCAACCCATGTCAAACCACAATGAGAGGAAAAACAAAAGGGTGAAAATGACAATACCCATAGCGACGAGAAAATAAACAGTTTAGATGTAGTAAATAACTTCCTGTAACATAAAATATGACATGATACGTTACTGAACATTTAGTAGAGAATAAATAATTTGACCTACAGCGGTCAGTCGATTTTCAATTACATCATCCGAAGGTTCTAATTTTAATGTTACAGTATTGTTATAACTTGTGACCGCCGATTAGACGGCAGTGAGTTATCGATCGGACCAAGGACGCATAAACCCGTATGAGCAGCTTAGAGTTCTGATTGGTCCTGCTTTCCGCCTATCCCAGCCAGTTAAGTCCAGAACACAAGTCTCAGCCTCTGCGATATGAATCATTATATTTCAAACATACTGAATTTATATACCAATCAAGCAGACCACAATATACCAATAAAATATGAAACAACATTTGTACAAGAATCAGCCAGATGTGGCTGTGAATGAGGGAGGTAGTGATTAATATACTGGGCATAATTCAAGAATGGTAAAACATATAATAATAGTTTATGGGTCAAAATAGAGCTTATAATAAGAGTAATATGAATATGCTTAGTTTAGTTAATTAATAATCATACAATAGAAATATACGTTTACTATTGGTCCATCAATAGATCCTAAAGTTACCATTCATGATGTTTCTCGGGACCTAACAAGTATCCGAACCTGAAATCTTGCTAGGTGTATTACAGCTCAGATCGCTTTTTGTCAACTCCATCAAACATATTCAGTGTTTCGAGCATACCTACTATTGAAAACTAACCAAGTATATTTTATGCTAAATAACGTGAATGCCTTTAAAAGAAGATATAAGATAGATTTTTCGTACACAACTAGAAATATGAAATATTCTTTCATGAATTATTAATTCGTTTTAATAGTACATTCATCAGTTGTTTGGAGGATCTTTACATTACATTGTCCATTGACTTAGATTTACTACTCACAATTATAGGATAGAATCTTTATCACTACGTTTTCTGGTTAAGGAACTAAGTTGTCCATAATAGGAGTGTTTCAACATCGTGGAATAAGTCGATAGTTGTCCCTGTCTTTAAATAGGATTCACATCGTTTCTGCAACAACTATCAAGGGATAAATGTGCTTTCGACTGTGTCCAAACTATTGGCTCCCATCACACTGTGTTAATGTGTTAAATTGTATTTTAGTTTAACTCATAAATAAGTGGTGATATTTTTAAAGTCTTATTTATTCACGAAAGACTTTTTATTTTTTATGTCAGACTTTAACTCAAATCCAGTGTACTGGCCTGTGCACTTCTCAAACAATTACTTCATCGCTACCTGGAGAAAATAATCAAAAGTGTATTCATTCATCTAGTGTTTCGTGTTTACCTACTGATTTCACATCCAACTGTACATCTTTATCTTCTGCAAATCATCCCGTTTCAGGGGATAATATAAATCGTATATCATATTGCAGTTCATATTCAAAAGAATCACCTATTCAGACTGCTCGTAATCAACCCTCACCATCAGTAGCATCATCGTCTGTAACAATAAGTACTAATATTTCTGTTACTACTACTGCTACTACTACTACTTCTCCCTCAATAACAACATCTACCACTACCACTGTTCCATGTAGGATAGGTAACTTAGGCTGTCATAACAATTTTGAAAAGCCCACAAGTATGTTGCACTATGCAACATTAGACTTTGGTATCATCACTCCAGAAACATCCCATTACAGGAATGAAAGTTATCCCGATATGAATACTGTTCGTTGGAATAACAATATCCACGACATGGATAATACACATACCGGTTCCAGTCGCAATCAGAAAAGTTGCAGTATGAACAACACTGTTACTAATGCCAATAACAATAATAATAATAGTCACAGTAATCTCAATGATAATTATTCTTCACGTATTTACGGGACTCTTACAGACACTTTACATTCACATTTAATAGAATCTCCTTGTCATCATCATTTTTCTGGACATACTGTATCTAGTAATAACAGTGCAAACTGTGAAGATGTGATTCGTGATGAAACAGATTCTGATTTACCGTCAAATTACGTTGCTATCTGTCAATTACAAACATTAGCAATGCGAGCTGTATTAAGTGCAACCACATAATTATCTAGGAAATATTTATTGTTACAATTTTACTACTTATTTGTCAAAATAAGTAGTTAAATTTAAATAACTACAATTTTTGCATCTCATATTATGGTTTATTATTATTATTTTCTTTTTTTTTCTCTCTACAAAACAATGCATTTTATAATTTGTACACCATGACAACATTTTAAATCTTAATGTAATTGGATTAGGTTTGGCTTCTTTTTCTTTATTATTTTTTTCGAATGAATGTATATTAAAATGAGAATATCTAATTGTTAATCTATCTCTGATCAATCATATGAAATTGTTCATTTCAATTTTGTATTAGGTAAACAATTCCTACGTTAATCCTAGATCTCAATTCCTTATTCCTCTACTATGAAACAAATCCATCCATTTATGATAATAATATCTTTATTGATAATTATAATATTCCCAGTTATACTAGAAATGTTTTTGTTATCTTTTAGGTGTTTGGTTTTTTTTTTCTTCTCTCGTTTATTTCTCATTATGATTTGGTTGTATGCATGTATGCATCCCCTATTACCTTTTGAATAAAAGAACAAAAACAAGCTTAATATGTATCTGACTGACTTGGTATTTTTTCTTCTTTTCCTTTATTCTTTCAAATAAAGAAAGAATTTGTAGTCCCTTGTAGCTTAGTTATTTATTCTTTATCTTGATTTATTATTATTTTTTTCTATTATGGAGATAAAAACCCTTAATTGTATTAGATCCATTGTGCATTTATGTAATGTTGATTTTCTTTTTGTTTCAATGAAGTAATATTTCGGATATTAATTTTTAAAGATCTCTCCGTATATGGTTTTCTTCTACAAATATATTATGAATTGATATTTATTTTTTTTTTTGTAAATACATGAATATTGGTAGAAAGAGGCAACCAATTGATATGAGCCACATAAATCATTCGATTTGTGTGAGGGCTAGGATACTGCCCAGGTGGCCAAACTGAAGCAGATGATTTTCTTAGGGAGCTACTTCTCGAGCCCTGAACCTAGAGGTTCAATCCACAAGGCAGTGGAGCAACGTAAGCAGATGCAGTCCCATGGTAGCTGGTGATTAACAATAGGTTCATACGTCGTTTCTTCCTCCAAGATACTGGAGCCCATGTACACCATTGGTTTGGAATCAGAATTTTCCAACTTCCTTAAGTGGACTCTCCGTATCCACTGAATTCGTTAATAGGAATGATGTGGGTAACTATCTGAGATTTTTAATTAGAATAGTCTAAAAAAAGGCGTGGATATGCGGTGTTCGTACTTTTATTCCTGTAAATTCTGGTTGTTTATAGTAAACCCTGTCAACATTATTATTGTGTTAAAGAAGTTTTATTAAAATATTTGAATGCTTTATGAAGATTCTTATTCACAGTGTTAAAACTTCTAGTACTGCTAGCATTTCAATAAACAATGTATTGTTTTCGGGTATTCTATTAAGATCGTAGTATGTTTCATAATGTACGTAGAAAGTGGACTGAATATTGAACTAAGTGATGTTTCTAATGTCCACTTTATTGACATTCTAAAGTACACGCCATCACATTAGTAGTGATCACTAGTTCTTATCGTTTACTATGATCATCACTATGCAGATACTAAACATGTATTTTTCAAATTAATCTAATTTTTACCTATTGAAATACATAATGTTATTTCTCTATAGAACGGTGTTTCATTTTTCAACTGTATATCTTTATTTAATCATCACCACTGTATAACTTTCCAGGTATTTCTTTATATCTAATCCTAACCAGACTTTGAACAATTTCTACATTGTGTGTATTTTTTATTATGCTACTTAGAATAAGTGTAGTATACGCAATGTTTAAGATTAGTCAATATAACATGGCATTGAATAGCCAATAACCGATTCTAAGTCTGGACCATGTAGGTCAGTTAAAATTGTCTAGTTTCCACAACAAGAACAAAAAAAAAACGCTGAAAATATGGAGTACAGTCTTGCTTGACAAAAGTTTTTCTTCCTTTCACGGGGATAGTTAAGTACTTATTCTGCAAGTTTTATTGAAGCATTGAAAAATAGTTTTGATTTAAAGCTAGGATTTTGATCATACGGCATGAAACGTCCGTTATATATAATTTCTATATTCACAGGCTCCTTCTCAATTAGGAAATATTCAAAATTTATAAAAATCAATAGCTGAACCATCAATGTCATCAGTCTCCATAAAATTGAATGTTAAAAGCAAAACGTTAGATATTATTCCTCCTTTTTTTGACAAAATTCTGATGAAAACGACAAATGATTGATCTTGCTATGAAAATTTATTACATCATACACTTAATCACCGCTAAATATATTATTTAACACCAGATATGGATTTGTTTATTTCTGTAAACCTCATAGAAAAGGCGAATCTGGAGTTTTTTGTGGAGTTTTGTTCTATGAGCTGGATGGTTTGGTCGTAGAGCTTTCATCATTCTTCTGAACGACGTCATCAGCACTAACTTCAGATTTGGAGTTTGTTATCATCATTTTTAACCTGTACATTTTCCACAAATCTCATTAGTTCCACATGCTTCGAGATGTATACAACATGTGTAGTGAACAGAACACGGGTGGGAACAATCGAATGTATTTAACATGAAATCATAGGACTTGTTAATAAAATCTAACAGTCAAATAGTAAATACGTAAGTTGCAAATGTTCATCAATTGTCTCATAATGACTCAGACTTCGTTGTTCTTGCATGTTCATACAAATTGCATCCTGTTCCCATTGTTTAATGTTCGATCCTCTTGTCTCCCTGCTTCCAGGGATTCTGTTCCTAAATAACACCATATACTACTTATATCAATATAAGTAACACACACCACACATTTACTATACTATAAATACCATGAAATATAATGTAAAAACATATTGTATATTATTTTCCAAGTTGTGATTAATGTTGATTGATGTAGGTGCAAACGAACTTTTAGATACATAGTAATTTAACTCTCCTGTCTACATGATGTACTTCCTAATATTTTTTCTATATTAAGGGTTTTTTTTAAAGTTTATTGGCACACCTATCATTGTAACGAAAACTGAATTAGCTCGATATGCTGATAGAATTTTAATGGTTAGATAGAAAAGTATTCTGTAATTAAGTGAATACTGGGTTTTTTTAAGCTAAATATTTCTAGTACAGTTTTGAGTGACGTGTCTTCATAGAAATGTGTATCAGTTCAATTAACCACAGTGAACAAATAACTAATCGGTCAAAATAACAGCTGTAGTGGACATAGCGGCCTAATTCCATCTCTAGGTCACTGTATTTTCAATTTGTCAAATATTTCAAGATATCATGTTATGTCTGATGTATTGTAAGTGCCTAGAAGATTTTCCTCACTTCATTATTCAGTCACAATCTCTTATCAATAGCTTACAATGTATCATGAAAAATTAGCCATGACGCAATAGTATTTGGTACAACTTCTTGTCTATATCCAGGCTATACGAGGAATAGGTACATCAAAATTTACCAAAATGCAGAGAATTAAATGCTCAAATATGCCCTAGCATAAATATGCAACCAAAAGACCTTAATTGTAAGTGGGATTCGTCGGAACACGTATTTTGTGTCCAGAAATCTGTCACATTTTGGTAGTAATTATCATTATTATAGGTAAAGGTTTTTTAAATTATCAGACTAGAAACACAGGAAATACATTTTAAAATGTATGGAATACAGGAAAGTAGAAATAGGAGATAGTATTATTCTTACAACGTGGCGATAATGATAAATGCGTCGTAGATACATAGCCATTTTGGGTCTACGTTAACTAAGATCTTCAGTCCTGGAGTTACCTGGCTAGATGGCAGTGAAAGGGCCAAAAGAGTATTGCACTTATTGTTGCATTGTATTCAGCTCATTATTACTCTAAAAATACCCAACAGGTACACGAATGTTTGTACAAATCTAATTAGTTGTAGTGTATGGAAAAGTTCTTCCAACTATTAACTGAAATCTTCATAGTTGACTATCTTATAACTTGTGAAAATGAAATTATTCCACTTGATTTGGGATTAATAAAACATGTCTGCTTAGACAACAGGAATGGTGGACTTTCACAGATAACTTTAAAACAACTCTACACCTGTGTAACCACTCCATTTTCTGCTTATTAAGCTCATCTGATTTTTCCTTCATGTTTTCTAGATTGGCTCTAGCTTTTTATCCTGTATTATTATAAAGGTAGTCCAATACAAAGTGCTCGTTAAATCGTAGAAATTTCTTTATATTTATGGATAACAACCACTTATATTTGGTTTCAGCTGATCTTTTATTTTAACATACTTGATGTAGACCTACTGTGATCCATGAAACTCTGACTTGACATTTGATACCAACTATTCAAAACTCCTTAGTATGCTTAAATGATTCTCATGAACCATGTAGTATCCAAGTCCTCACACAAATCACATGGTGAAATGTGGCGCATATGTATTCGGTGCCTCCTTGTACCAATATTTATGTGTTTAAATTATAATAATAACTCTAAATGAATAACCATCCACTCTTCAAGTTGAGATTTTATTCATGTATTAGAAACTACCCTACTTATTTAGCATCAGTTTGTCACTGAAAGTTGTGAAACATGTCACTCATGACAGCATATTTATTTTTTAAAACAAAGTTGTTTAGGGTGGTTAACTCCGGTGAATTGGAATCAAAGGACTTCCCAAATTAATTATTGTTTTCAGATTTTTCATCTTATGAAAGCATGAATATACTAAGTTCATTAATTACTCCTTGTGAATAGTGACTACAGGTGATGAGAAAAAAAGATGCAGATAATGAGATCCATCGCAGATCATATAAGCAGATATATTCGTGTTGCGAACATATCTATGCATAGGATATATATTTTGTTAGTATAAACAATTTTAAACTCTCACAAAAAATATGCCAGTCTTACAAAACTCATCAATCACTAATCTGACGAAAAAACACCACTGCATACTTACTCATTGGTAATAAAAGTGTGTGTAGGCAAAAATGCAGTCCTTTAGTGTTAGCTTCAACGCTCAAATTAATGATAGGTATTAGTGTTTGGCTCAATCGATCAACCCATCTTGCAAATTCCTACATCCCTCATGAGTTTATCTCAGGAAAATTGTCGGAAATGACCCAGAAATCCCACCTGGATTTTGCCAATCTGTATCACTTTTGGTGTGAGCGTGATTTCGTCTGATAACCAAGCCACGAATGAAACACGGCCTATGAAGGGAGAAGGTATGATTAGGTTGGTGGCTTTCGATTATAGGTGGATTCGAAAAATGTTTTCTGTACCGTGAAATGAATGATAAATTTTGGGAACGAACACAGGATATTGATTAAGTATGGCCAGTCAGCTGACAAGGTTGTGGATCGCCATCTTTGGAGGAAGTTAAAGCATGTGATACATATGGCAAGCTACCACGTTCCCCGATAGGCGACGTCTTTCGGCATAACAGTATGTTGGGATAAAGCTAGGAGTAACTAATCTGAAACGTGGCACCAGTTGGTATTGCCGCTGAGACTTATTTATTGGTACAAACTACCTGGTTACGGTTCCTACAACTACTGTAACTCATGTTTAGAGACTTTAGTGACATGACTCATAATTAACCTCAGTAACGTAGATGCAATCACTTTTTGTCTTTTCTGGGGTCATGAGTCTCAATATAACCTCATAATTGTATATGTCGTGTATTCTTCTTCATTCCCGAACTATATTTTTGTACCTAATCTTTTCTAATAATACTGATACCGTTACTGCATCTGCTATTCAAGGATTTGACATGTGAAAAAATTCATCTCGCTGTACTAGTGGAGTGTGATAATTTGGATTGATGTACATACTTGCCGGGTTCCACGTTGCAGATAGCTAACTACAAGTTGGTTTACTAAAAAAATTAGCTTGTTTTCAAATAGAACTATTATAATGGTCAATTTATCCTAAATAAGTTGATTAAACCTTTCTACTAGTATTTGCAAACTAGTACTGTTGCTTCTTTATTATAAAACAAAGAACCATCAACAACTGGCAATGAATAGTGACATTGAACTAACATTTCTGTAATATATCTTTCATATTTGTTGAAGCGGTCTATATTTAAAAATCTGCGACATGAACATCATCCAAAGATATTCAATTGTGCTGAGAGGCAAATGCTTCAATGTTCATATTGCGGATATGTTCGTTGGTGTTTGTTGGCTCGACCCAGTTACTTGCTTTTTGGTGGTAAACGCTTATCACTAAGGGCAACTTTTCCACCATTTTACCATGACTTACGAAATTACCGGTATTCTCCTTTTAAGAAATCATTAATGCCTAATTGGAAATTCATAAAATATTTTGAGACACTTTTTGAAGTGCGACACTCATATACTTAGTAGCTATAAACACCAAAAACCGAGGCAACACAGAACAACGAATCATTTACAAATGAAGCATCTGCACAGTTATCAGTATCAGAGTCCCAATAGCAGCGGCGTGCCATTTTCACTCCTTGACCTTTCTTTTCGCCAATGATGACTTGAACCAAGTATCTATAACGTCGCAAAGATAGACTTTTCTTTAATAAGCGTTTGATTTCATCAGCCAGGGAAATGCACTTTTCTGCAGATAACTGTAAAAAGATTTTATAACATACCATGAGTGTTCTCAGGAGAGTATACTTCCCTTTCCAGCCGTTCCTTTAGTAACTGAGAAATGATGTTTCTTACTGCCCAGGGGCGGAATTTCTGATCAAATTGTGGCTTTATAATATATGAATTCAACTTTTCCTCGTTGTTAGGACTTTGTTTTGAAAATTCCATTGAGTCAAAATACACAGATTAGTGTTGTCATACCAACCACTCTACTTTTCCAATGTCCAACATTCGAGACACGAATTTTGACTACCCTCGAAAGTCTTGGACTCCTTATTATACGGTGGTTTGCGTTACCACTTATTATCCCTTATCTTTGTTCACCCAAACAGTACGGTTTCAGGAAGTCACTACCGTATAAATAATCTACTGACCGCGGTGGAGAGATGGAAAACTACCCTTAATCGCTAGACTGGTGCTGCGTACCTTGACTTCTTAAAAGATTTTAGTAGGGCGGTTATATACTTCTAACCAATTATCCCGGACTGTCAAGTCTGGCTTACTGTTACGTCCAAGTTCTGCTCCAGTCCGTTACTGAAGCATGGTGGATTGATCCAATCATAGCTTACCTCGGAATGAAGTCTAATGATTTCCTAAATGCATGTTCTATCCACTTCCGACGTTTTTTCCTGATTTCCTCTTAAGCTGTAAGCCGATTTGTCCCCCCTCACTGTGGGCTGTTTCTGATGCCTTATGGCCAACGGATCTGGAGTATCTTCAGTTCACATTTGTTCACAAACACATATGTTTTGATGATGGTTGTGTCAGTTGTCCAAGTTTCAGCTTCGTATTGAAGAACCATCTTGATGTTCATATTGAAGATTCCTTGATGTTGATTGACGGTTGTCTCTAGTTCCATGGGTTCTTCAACCGTGAGAACGCGGAATTCCGCCCTTGCTTTGTTAAAAACGTTTCCTCTTGCTGACAGCAATGTGAAGCCTCTGTATTTCTCACTTTTCCCACATTTTCTTTCTTTAGTATCTTGATGAGATGTACTTCTTTCCAGTCCGTCGGCACTTGTTCCTCCTCCCAAATCTCGAATAGAACGTCAATTATGTTTGAAGTTACTTCAATGTCTGACATCAGAGCTTCAGCTGGTATATTGTCAGGTGCTGCTGCTTTCCTACTCTTGATTTGTCTGATTGCTATCCTGATCTCTTCGATCGTTGATGGAGTGACAGCTATAGGAAGATCTGTGTTTGTTGCTTCATTGTCCACTGGATTCAATGGAGCTGGTCTATTCACGAGTTCCTCAAAATACTCTACCCATCTGTTCCTCTGTTCTTGAATTTCAGTGATTGGCCTGCCTCCCTTCTAGTTTCTTCGTTGTATCATATATTTGTTTCATATTTCGTTCTCTTGGAGCTTGTTCTGCCGTCGTTGCTAGTTGTTCCTCGTATTTCTGGTTGTCAGCTTTAATGTTCTTCTTCACTTGCTTGTTTGCTTCTGTGTACTGAAGTTTTGCCTTGACCTCCTCTGATTGTGTTCGTCTGTTGTTAATTGTTGTTTTCTTGTTCTTCCTTTCTTGAATCTTGTTCAGGGTCGCTGTAGAGATCCATTCGTCATGATGATGCTGCTTGCGGCCCAGCACCTAATAACACATTGAATTTATTACTTCTTTGATACTTTTCCACTGGTCCTCCTTGCTAATTTCTTTTCCGTTGAGTAGATCTTGTAAGGCTTGGAATATGTTGTTGAGTGCAGTCTTGAATTCGTTGAGATTGCTGGCATCTCGTTGGTAGGCTGTTTTGAACATTTGTAATGCACTTCACCCAGCTGTCCAGTTTTTCTTTAGGTTTTGCCTCATCTTGGCCACAACCAGATGGTAATCTGAAACTATGTCAACCCCTCTCTTGGTTCTCGCATCTTCCATCGTCCTTCGTAGCTTTTTATTGATGCGAACATGATCTACCTGGTTCTCTGTAGTGTGGTACGGTGAGATCCATGTAGCTTTGTGTATGTGTTTGTGTGAGAATATTGTGCCACCTATAGCCAATTTGTTGAATGCGCATAGATTTGCAAATTTTCCTCTCTTTCGTTGCCCTTTCATAGTCAATGTCGTCATATGATATCTTCATGCCCTGTGTTGTCCATTCCGACTCTGGGGTTTATATTTCGCATTGGGATGATCAGGTACTTTATTAGTAACTTCGCTATGGTTGATTGCGTCCTCTCGTAAAACTGTTCTTTATCATCTTTTTATGCCATCATTGCTGGTTGCATAACTTTGGATGACATTCATCGTGATTCCCTCCTAATTTGTAAGGAAAGATGCTTTGATGATTCTGGATCCGTGAGATTCCCATCCCACAAGTTCATTTCGTGCTTCTTTGGACAACACCAAAGCAATTATCTGAGTGCAGGGTGCATTTCGTCCCTCGTGACTGGAGAACAGAAGCATCTCTCCCGTATCTAGCCTTTGCTGTTCAGCTTGTGTCCAATAAGTCTCGCTGATTCCTAGTACTGCCAATCTGTATCTCCTCAATCCCCTGGCACTTTGGCTGATCATCCCGGTTTGTCACATTGTCCGGATCTTCCATCCACCTATGTTGATTGTTGTTCTGATTGTTAGAAGGAGCAACGTCCGACTTCCAAAGAATGTTGGATTCCATCCTGAAGTGTCACAACACACCCTTAACTCCCAAGGCAGAGTTCAGGTGGCTTAAGCCTTTAATCTGGCTGATGTTTTTTGAAAGGTTGTTTTCTTTGTGGTTGTTGTTGCCGAACCCACGCCCGACGCTCCCAATTCACCCTGGTTTGGGACTGGCAGTATCTACGGGTGAACTACACGTGGAAGTAACAGTCGAAGCATAAACCTTCAATTTTACGTTTTTCGGAGACGGAATTTAAAAATATCAGGCCAGAACCGGGATGAAACCAAGAAATTTTCGGCGTTAAATTTATGAACGAACAGGTTCGAAACCCGGGTAAAACGTATGTGCGCAAATCGGCTGCAATTAAACGCAACTCAATTTCGTAAATGTGCCCTTCAGCTTAGCAACCAATCAGAATGAGGCGGGAATTATTATATCCGCCATCATCGTAAGCAATGGCGGTCAGCTTTCTTCGCTATTTCTTTTGTGTAGCTATGTAATTTAATGTTTCGGTGTGCTAAAATGCCACAGTTAGTATAATGCTCTATATGTTGGTGTGAAATTTATTTCGGATCAGCGATTTTTTCTGGGTTAACCCAGCAAACATTTTTTCTGCTTCTACTCAAGTCATTGTATTTCTTCAGCCAAGCTGGCTAGTCTCATGTTTTAAAATGATAATCGGTTTTGTTTTGACTTGTTTTCTAGATATCCAAAGTCGAAGTTCGTTTTTTTTAGCTAAAATAATTGTTGCTGCAGCCTGTGACTAACTGTCCGCATGTTCGTTCCTAACTGTCCTTTATGATGTTATCGGCAAAATGAGAGGAAATAATCTCCGGTTTTTAATTTACTTCAGTATTATGGACAACACTATCCCACCGACGAGTCAAACTAATACTAAGTGCCCAGCAGTAGCAGATATCAGTATTGTTTTCGAAAGAACCCAGACTCCCGATAACCATAGATGAAGTCACAGATGCTACCAATCTATTGCAGAGGGTTTGTTATGAAAAATATGCCATATAGCAGTAATAGAAGGGTTGTGCTCGTTACGTAGTGCTTTAAAGCAAGCTTAACATTGAAAATCTGGAAATCTGCTATCAGTGTGTAGTGTATGTTTGCTGTTTTGGTCATAAAAGGAAGCCGAAGGGTCATGATCAGGGAGCAAAATAGTAATTAACTGTTTTTAAGCTAACTTTCTTATAGATCGTATTTCACCACTCGCAACTCTGTTTTTTTACGGTATGACGTCAACCGGTACCTAATATGTTCACCCTTACGATGAAAAGCACCTGCAAAATTTCACCTTCATATTCGAATTATTTTTGGGAAACTGTCTTCCACTTTGAGTGCTTCGTACCTCCTGGTTGACGAGATTCCTACATTATTCATAGTTCTAGTGTAAAGTTCTCACGCAGTAAGTTCAAAGTAGACACTAGTTTTTCTAAATAAGCCTGTTGAGCAAATATCCGTATTCTCTATTTCAGTTAATCGATAAAGACATGTACCACGTGCATCTGCTGTATACTGCCATTTTACTCTAATTCTAACTTATGTCTTACTTCTGAAAAATAAAATTGCTATATGCAGCAAATACAGACTTTTTATGGAGATAGGAGGGTTCATGGGATTTTTAGCACTAAAGAGCTAAGTGAGTAGACCAATGTAAGGTACCATACAGGTTGCCTTTGTGTTACTCGTGTTCCATTAGTGTCGGTAGAGGCATTACTTGTCTATCATATGACATTTGAATAAGAAGCTATGAGATTAGACGCAGTGACGGTTAGGATGTGTAACGCGTGTCCATACATCAGCTGACGTGACAACTCATGGTGGCTAGAATAAGTTGTGAGAGGACCCGAGACTGTAGGTTTCCCATGAAAATGACGAAGATATGTACCAAATCACTTTATGAAGAGCGCCTACAATCACTTAACCTTTACACATTGGAGTATAAACGTGTTAGAGGTGACCTTCCAATGGATTACAGTATCCTTGACACTTCTGGACATCCTCTTAACACCTACTTAAGCTTAGTTCCAACACTAACCTAAGGGGTAGACCCAGAAACTGGAGACACAAAATAGCAGAACGGCCAGGAGACATCCACTCCTTACGAGTTGTCAAATGCTGGGATTCGCTGCCTAGCGAGCTATTCCAAGCGACTTTCCAGGAGTCCTTTAAGAGGAAACGTGACCTATTCTTAAGGACTACGGATAACGTCGTATTATGAGTCCCCGAATTCTTTTTTCTAATCTATTATAGGTAATATACCTAGGTTCCTGCCTGGAGGTATTGATGATCCACTGCTACTAGATACGGTAGTCTGTTGAGCGAAAGCTTCTATTCCGTCCATAACCATTTGAACACATGAACTAGGTGCTGAGTGGCTCGTGTATCACAAGTTCCTTGAGACGATTAAGTAGATAAAACAAAGTAGTATTAGATTCGAAAATTTATTCAAGAACTTCCATTAAGAATCGACTATAAAACAAAGGTTTAAACCAAGTTTTCGTTTAAAAGTTGTATTGGTAATGTTAAGTTGCAGTTTTTGTTGTTTTTTTCCAAACGAAATAG